TTGGGACAACCCAAAAAGGAAAGTAGGACATGTAAAATGGGACGGAGGGAGTATATGATTAATAATTAACAAGTTCATCAAGGACATTTAACGAAAAAGAAACAAATTTTTAGTTCATTCCTTGTTTGTACTCAAAATTTAAGATTTCAAAATCACACAGGAGCATATGCATATAATCTATCATTGCAAAGTATCCATGAACATATTTTCCACAATACTAAGTGTCAATCTTAATTCATTGCTTCCTTTGATGTTATGAATAGGTTTATAATTTCCATGAACATGCACATTTAATTATTTTCAAGAACGGTAAATAATAATATTTTCATATGATTATTAGGAAATGCTTGCTCTGCTCTAGGTACTTCATTGAGTATTTAACCTGCCATTTATAAAATGGCACCAAATAAAGACTGGATTGAGTTGTTTGATGACCGTCTAAGTGATGCATATTTGCAAGGCATACAAACCTTTTTAGGTTATGCCTTTCAAAAAGCAGGAGAAAGGTGTGAGATTAGATGTCCATGTGTAAAATGTGGAAATACATATTCAAAAAGTCGTGAAGTAGTTGAAATCCATTTGAAAGTGTATGGGATGTTGAGGAACTACACTTTTTGGTATCACCATGGAGAGAGGTTAGGAGAAACAGATTTTGAAACTCCTAGTGATGCAAGCAATGACTCTGGAGACGACACTGATGATGAAGCACGAGAAATTCTAGAAGATTTTTTTCCTCATTTTGCAGAATCTACTGAAACTACAGATTCTATCGAAGAGGAACCTAATGATGAAGCAAAGAAGTTTTACAGGTTGTTAAATGATTCTCAACAACCAATATACAAAGGTTCCAAGTTCTCAAAGTTGTCGATCTTGGTAAGGCTGCTTCATATCAAGAGTGTTGGGAAATGGAGTAATGAGTCTTTTTCAATGTTGCTAAAATTGCTTAATGAAGATCTACTTCCTGAATCATCTACTTTACCGAATTCATACTATGATGCAAAGAAGATAATTAAAGACCTTGGTCTTTCTTATACAAAGATAGATGTTTGTGAGAAGAATTGTATGTTATATTGGAAGGGTGATCTAGAGGCTGAATTTTGCAAGGTGTGCGGTGAATCCAGATGGGAGAATGACAATCGTAATGGAGAGTGCAAATATAAAGCAAATGGTAAGAAAGTACCAAAGAAGACATTGCGATATTTCCCATTACAACCCAGACTTAAGAGGTTGTTTATGTCTAGAAAGACATCGTCTTTAATGAGATGGCATCACTACAAAATAAAGAATGATGATGATGGTAGAACAATGACTCATCCGGCTGATTCAAGAGCATGGAAGCATTTTGATGAGCTCCATAAGTCATTCTCTTCAAATCCATGTAATGTTCGACTTGGACTTGCAACAGATGGTTTCCAACCATTTGCAAATTCAAAAAGGTCTTATAGCATTTGGCCGGTGATACTTGTTCCATATAATTTGCCACCTTGGATGTGCATGGATCAATCAAATTTTATTTTGTCAATGCTCATTCCAGGTCCTGAAGGTCCTGGAGATGCAATCGATGTTTATCTCCAACCATTGATAGAAGAGCTCAAAATCTTATGGGAAACCGGAGTTGAAACATATGATGCATACAGCAAAAAGAACTTCCAGTTACATGCTGCCTTATTGTGGACGGTAAATGACTTTCCAGCATATGCAAATTTATCTGGATGGAGCACTAAAGGAAGATTGGCTTGCCCTTGTTGTAATAAGGACACTTCATGGACCAGGTTAGCGAATGGTGGAAAACAATGCTACATGGGGCATCGTCGATGGCTTCCAAGTAATCATAAATGGAGAAATGATAAGAAGTCATTTGATGGTACAAAAGAACTTAGATTTCAACCAAAACCTATTTCAGGTAATGAGATACTCGAGCAGGTGAAAGACCTTGATGGCATGGTGTTAACAAAAGATCCAAGTAAGAAGGTGAAAATATCTCATAAAAAGAGAGGAGACAATTGGAATAAGAAGAGCATATTTTTTGACCTTCCATATTGGGAAACTTTGTTATTGCGTCATAACTTGGATGTCATGCACATCGAGAAAAACATTTTTGATAACATTTTGGGCACAATCATGAATGTGAAGGGGAAAACAAAAGATAACCTTCAAACCCGACTTGATCTGAAAGCAATGAACATAAGACATGAGTTGCATCCAACCAAGGAAGGTGATAGGTATTCATTTCCAATGGCATCTTATGTTTTAACCGAAGAAGAGAAACATAAGTTTTGTCTTTTCTTGAAGCAATTGAAAGTTCCAGATGGATTTTCCTCCAACATTTCTCATAGTGTCAATCTAAAAGATCGTAAAATTTCAGGGTTAAAGAGTCACGACTGTCATGTTTTACTACAAACTTTGCTTCCGCTCGTAACTCGGGGCTTACTACCTAAAGCCGTTTATGAACCACTTGTTGAGTTGTCAATGTTTTTCAATACTTTATGTGCTAAAGTGTTGAAAGTTGATGACTTAGAAGCAATTGAAGCTCAGATTCCGATAACACTTTGCAAGTTAGAGAAGATATTCCCGCCTTCTTTTTTTGATGTCATGGTTCATTTGGCAATTCATTTAGCTACAGAGGCCATTAATGGTGGACCTGTTCATTACCGGTGGATGTACTTTGTAGAAAGAACAATGTTTGTGTTGAAGTCTTTCATTCGTAACTCGGCTCGTCCAGAAGGTTCAATTGCAGAAGGTTACATAGCCAATGAGTGCATGACATTTTGCTCACGTTATTTAAAAGGCATGAAAACTAAGTTTAATAAACCTGAGCGGAACTATGATGGGGGTTGTACTGAGTTGAATAATGGCCTGAAAATCTTTAATCATCCTGGAAGAACCTTGGGAGCAGGTAAGCAATGCGATTTGGACCCATATGAGCTTCAGCTTGCTCATCTCTACGTTTTAAAAAATTGCGAAGAAGTACAACCCTTTCTTCTGTAAGTCATATAATTAAACCATATTGAATATTTATCCTAATATTTTTATATCTAAATAGTTACCAAAATTCATTACTTCTTATCTTGTAGAGAATATTCACAAATTGAAGCAATTAGCTCACTAAATCTATCAGATAAAGAATGGGACAGTCAGTTCATTGAGTGGTTCAAGATAAGAGTAAGTAATCCTTTAAAGTTTAATCTTCACTAATTGTTTTAGCTGGTCTATGTATATTAAGCATAATAATTTACATTTTTCAAATAGGTGTCACAAATGCATAAAAGTGCTCAAACTGAAAATGTGGAAGACTTACTTTCGTTATCTCGTGGTCCTACCCATTATGTGAGCAGTTTTAAAGGCTATATTTGCAATGGCTATAGATTCCATATAGAGGAACATGAAAAGAGCTTAAGGACTCAAAATAGTGGTGTGCTTGTAGTAGGGGATGATGGTATTGATACTCAAACCATTGATTACTATGGGGTATTAATTGAGGTTATTGAATTGCAATATCTTGGAGCAAAGCGAGTTGTGTTATTTCGTTGCAAGTGGTGGGATGTATATGATAGACAAAGAGGAGTTAAGGTTGATGAATATGGGATTGTAAGTGTTAATTTTCAGCGAACTTTGAAAACGAACGAGCCATTTGTCCTAGCAAGCCAAGTTTCCCAGGTTTTTTATGCTATTGACAACAATGTCAAAGGTTGGCATGTTGTGCGAAAAGTTCAACCACGTGATAGCTATGCAATGCCATTGGAAATGGACGATGATTTAGAAAATCCAGACCTTTCAAATGAAGTATTTCAACACGTTGAATCATCCTCTCCCCAATTTGTTCCAACCCAATTGGCTAATATTGAAGGTGAACAAGATTTGGTGAGACGTGATATGGAGCCCATTTTTGTTAGTGAAATTCCACCCAAAAAGACAAAAAAACGAAAACGAAGACAACTGTAATCAAGGTGTTGTATTCTAATATGCAATTTATTATCTTATTAAAATTATGTTTGCACTGAAGTTGTTTTTATCTTAGGGATGGTCATCACCGTATTGCATATATCTTACTATGATACTACTTTTATTTTCAGGTTGCAATGAATTTCGACAAACTTGCAACTGCAAAGCCTGCAGCCAAACCCGTATTCATCAGACCAGGCACGTTAGGTGTGGGACTTGTACGTGGACTGGGCTCAATGCCATGCACTAACTTCAGCACGTCATCGCGGTTTCCTTCAATGCATGAAAGTGAAATTGAAGAATCTGGTATAACTTTAGCAAATCAGTTTTTTCTATGTTTATATGACAATTCAGAAATATTGAATATAAACAACAAAACTACAAAAGTAATATCATTACTTTTGCATCAATACTGCCAAAAAATGATTAACAAATGTAGTATTATTATGTGTGAAAGGACTACATACAATGGCTTCTCATAACTTTGGAATGACTTCAGGCAGTTCACTACATAAAAGGCAAACTAGGGAGCCTGGTAAGTATAAATAGTGATCTCAATGATGCATTAAAGTTCTGATTTTTTATTAGACATTTTTTCTTATATCTTGTGCTAATATTTTACTCAATTTGCAGATAACGTTTTTCACTTTAAGAGGCAAAAAAGGGTTCAAGCAATAAAAAATGACGCTAGGGACTTTGGTAAAGTATTTATGCCTTCAACTGTTTTAATCTATTGTACTAAATTTATTTAATATTTATTTAAACTGGTTCAATTTTGATGATGTTTTTTTACAAGGTGCTTTTACTTCCCATAATGTCATTCTATGCTTTGGAGAATCAGAATACCACGAAAAGAATTTTAATGAGGACAATTGTTTCTTGGATATTTTGGCTATGTGTCATAAGCTTGTGGATGTGTACTCTGTTGGAATAAAGATAGTTGATGGAGATGGGAGGCCACTAAGATGTGATCCAGATGTGACTAATATGCTCAAGCAACATGTGGGTCGTGAAAACATATACATATATCTATACCTGGATGATACACGCCCACCGTTGTCGTATAAGCTGCCAGAGCATAACCATGAGCTTTGTAATACTCGTACTTTAATGAACATCAATTCTCTACACATGTTTATCATTTAAAAATTAAGCATCTCACTTTTATCTTTTTAACATCACAGATTCAGCGGTGCCGCCAAGTCCAATACCTATGCCCAAAGAGGTTCAACTAATGCCCAAAGAAAAGGATAAAGGTAACACCCTCAAACTAATAATATGTTATTATCTTTCTCTCTTATAGTTTTATGATTTCAAATGTTTATTTTCAGGTTCAACTACACCCAATGGAGGTTTTAAAATAGGTACTATACTGGGTATGAATTTATACTATAGATATATAGATTTTATTCACAAGTAAACTTATGTTATGAATGTTAGGTAGAGGTCGTGGACAAGGATTGCGATCAATGCTCCCCCATAACTCTACTATAGGTACACCTAATGCCGAATGCAGAAAAGGAAATAATAATACTGAAATTACCCCTAATGGAGGTTTTAAAGGAGCAGTAGCTAAAGTGCGTGAAAATGTCACTAGCGACTTTGGTAAAGTATTTATGCCTTCAACCGGTTCAATCTTTTGTACTAGATTTGTTTAATATATAAACTGGTCTAATTCTAATATTGTCTTTTTCATAAGGTGATTTTACTTCCCATGATGTCATCCTATGCTTTGAAGAAGCAGAATACCACGAAAAGGATTTTGGTGAAGACAATTGTTTCTTGGATATTTTGGCTATGTGTCATAAGCTTGTTGATGTGTACTCCGTTGGGATAAAGATAATTGATGGAGATGGGAGGCCACTAAGATGTGATCTAGATGTGACTAATATGCTCAAGCAACATGCAGGTCGTGAAAACATATACATTTATCTATACAGGGATGATACGCGCCCGCCATTGTCTTATACGCTGCCAAAGCATAACCGTGAGCTAGGTCATACTCATACATTAGAGAACATCAATTGTCTGCACATATTTATCCTCTTAAAATTAAACTTCTCACTTTTTGGATTTCAATATCGTAGGTAATGATTCACTGGTGCCTCCAAGTCCAATACCTATGCCCAAAGAAGTTCAACCGATGTCCAAGAGTATGTCCAAAGAAAATAATAAGGGTAACTCCCTCAAAATATTAGTATGTTATTATTCTTCTCTCTTGTTATAGTTTTATGTTATCCAATTATGATTTTCAGTTTCAACTTCCAAAAGAAGCAAGAAAAAGGCAAGAGGACGAAATAAATGCAAGGAAGTATTAAATTTGAAGAAAGGAGAGAAGCTCACAGTGAAATTTTATAACACTCGAGTTGTTGGAAAAAACCATAAAGCTTTCTCAAGGCATTTGGGAAAAACAATCCGTAATCGTCTAATTTGTCCTTTGGCGGTGACCTCATGGAAAAACATTGATGAAGATAAGAAATCTCACATGTGGGATTCAGTAACAGTACGTTTCTCTATCCAGTTCAATATATGATGTCTATTTAAATTAATGGGACCAGGTAGTTATATTTTATTATTCATTACTTGCTCTATGTGCTACAAATATTCATGACAATTTAAAATTGTTGTAGGAAGCATTTGAGGGTGATGATTTACTAAGCCATCAAGATGATGTCTTTAAGCACATGCGTGAGTTATGGAACAAATGGAGGGGATGGATGCATCTCACATATGTCAAGAACAAGACTATGAGTGAAGCTCTCAAAATAGTTCCTGATGAAGTAATTAAGGATGATTGGGAATGGTTGGTGAAGGATTATTACTTTACTCCACAATATAAGGTAAATACGATTATCATACTCCTAAACTTATATTCTGTTATATTAGATGGAAAAACTCTCTTAAAATGCTGAAAGCGGTTGAGTATAGAATGAGAAATATTGTCCTTAAGAAAAACATCTAGTCATTTTCCAGCAACTGTCGTGTTCAAAACAACCGAGTCAGTTTTCAGAGCATTGTCTTTTGATAAGTTTGGTTTGACCTGGAGCAATCTTGAATTCATAGATATGACTTATGATCTGATTTTTTTGTACTAATACAGGAAAGGAGTAAGCGAGCTTCAAAAAATAGAAGTCATTTAACAATGCTTCACCGTATGGGTAGCATGCCTGTGAGAGAGGTTATTTATGAAATGGTAGGTTTTTCTGTAACTATTAATTTATATTTATATATGCAATGTTCAAATAATTACCCATTTGATATTTGTCGTCCTATTTGTTTTTGTGAAGGGAGGTAAAGACGATAATCCACCTGATATGGGAGTTATTTTCTATGAAACTCGCAAGAAAAAGGATAAACTTGTCGAACCAGAGACTATTCAAAAATATGTGAGTAAATGTTTTAAGGTCTTCCTTCTCATGTTGACTATTTCTGGTATTTAATCAGACAGATTGTTATTTTAGGAGGAGATATGTGAGGTGGTGCAATCAAACCCATCTTTACCAAATGTTGATGTGGTTGAGAAGTGTTTTGGACCTCAAAAACGCAGTCATGTAATTTGTCATGGAGGTGGGGTGACTCGGAAGTATTTGAAGGGACCATCTTGTAAAAAGGCTGAACTTGAAGCCAAATTGAATGTCAAAGATGAAGAAAATCGCTACTTGAAGAATCGTCTAAATACATTAGAGGATGAGTTCCTAAAGATCAAGGAGATGCTGCAAAGTCAAGAGAAAAGCTAGACATTAACCCTTGACAGTATATCTCTAGTTTTATTTTATGTTTAGAAACTTCAAACCTAACGTAACGTATCATCTACCTCTTATTTTTTTTTGAGATACTTTGATGTGCTGAAGAATCTGCTAAGATTTAGTTTTTGTTTGTTTTTGAAACACGTTGATCTTGCTACATTTGAATATTTAATCATTAGTTTTCAATTTGCTTTAGCTTTGTATGTGCACACTTATAATTGCTTAATATGTTATATACGTAACATATTATTATTGTTTATGAAACGTCATACAATATTTAGTCAGACAGAACTATATATATAACGAGTATCAACATTTTTGTTGCTATTATATAATTTTAATAATTACCCGTGCGTTGCACGGTCGGTGAATTTCAGTCCAATTTTTTCTTTCTTCGAAATGTTTTCCACACTTCGGACGCAAAAGATTAATTGACAGTAAAAAAATAAATTATTAGTCAATTACATCGTGCACAATTCAAGATCAAGGAAATATTAAACATAGAAGTATAGAGGCCGCTTGACAGCACTGTTTTTCGCCTTATCAGGCTTATCAGCCAACTTTTTCACCAAACACGTAACTTTTGCTTTCGTGCGCTGAAATGTGTAATAAGCAGAAAAAGTAAGGTTGGAGTTGCTTTGTGGTTGTATTGGCTGAAGTTACTATAGATGACCATTTTAGTTATTTTTACATATATTTTTTTCTTTATTTTATTAATAAAATATATTTTAAAATTAATTTTTTCTTAAATCAGCAGAATCAGCCAATGCAGCCACTTCAGCCAGAACTTCATAAATTTCAGCGGAAACAGCCAAATCAGTCGATTTTCGTGCTATCAAACGGAACGGGCTCATAATCATAAAGTACACCAAAATAATTCGGCATAGAACTGTAGGCATTTGTTAAAAATGGAATTGAATGTAACCCCAAACGTTATTGAAAACTTCTTTATTAACCACATTTTGAGTGGCATTCACGGTCCTCCCGCTGTCATTGCATATAAGAATTTTCGAACCATGCCTATTAGTCACTCTTGAAACCGCAACATAGAGTTGTCCATGCGTAAACACAGGTTTCTTCAACAACCCAACACGGGATAACGATTGGCCCTGACTTTTATTTATAGTCATAGCAGATAAGCTTAAACATCACATTTGGGGCACCGTCTGTGTCAATCTTTTGTTTGGCAAGTCGAAAGGACTTGACCAAACGTTATGTTCATTGAGCATCTGAGTCAAATCAACAACTATTCCCTCATGCAACTTCCTTGTAGCGTGACCATCGTTGCATTTAAAAAGTTACATTAAAGGGGTTATACAGTAAGATATTTGGTGATTTTACTATCACATTCATAAATGTGTCGCACCTCACTGATGAAAACATATTCTAAACTTCATTCTCAGTGTCATAGATATGCAATTGTGCGAATTTTGGCTTTGCACCGGCCGGAGGCAACAAACTACCAATCAAATGATAATTTTGACCATGCAATTTAAAGATTGGAGGAGACCTGCCCATGTTCACACTTCCTTCCACCTTACCGCCCATGGTCGTAAACGAAAACATACTGTTGTAAGATCTGATGTTTTCTAAGAAATGCTTACTGCGTACATCAGTACCCTCAATCAAACCAAAATAAAGCACCACAATACTGACACTCGCATATTGAATCACCGATGTCCCAGTACTCTGCAATACAATAAAAAGAAACCACACTTCAACAAAAAATAACAGCAAATAAAAGATTTTTTTAGAATTGACAACTGAGAGCTCACCAAACGTGCCAGTCGTGTTCATGGGCAACCTGGTATTTCCAAGGTCAGGAAATTTTAGGTAACTTTACATATATATATTTTTTTTAAATTTTTTTAGCAAAAAAATGTGAAAAAATATTATTTACCTAAATATCCGTAATCAGCCAAAGAACCTACTTCAGCCAAAATTTCATTAATTTCAACAGAATCAGTCAAAACTGCCGATTTTTGTACTACCGAACCGGCTGCGTATATCACAAAACTACAACCAATTACTTCAAAACAAAATATTTGAGCCCATTGTTAAATAATCATTCACTCATATGGGCCGGCCCAATGAAATTAAACCCATCCCGAACCCAAGCCTCATATACCGTCAACCACACCCCTCGTCAACCACCCCCCCTACAAACACGTCGACACCCAAACTCTGTCTCTCTCTCTGCAACCCTAAGTCCTAACAGATCGGTTTTACATCCCAGCGACCTTCACCACCTCCGACATCAACCTCCGGCCATAACCAAAAACCCCGATCTCCAACGGCACACCCCCATACAACAAATCCACCAAAAGATTTAGCCTGAAAGCAAGACCCCTATATCCAACAGAAGTTCTAAGATCGGAGAAGAAAACGCATGGGGCTTGATACCAAAAAAGGAGCCACCGTCCGCAAACTACATCCGCGGTCTCCGGCCTCATACCTCAGAGACACAGGTAAGCTTCATATGCTCACAACACACAGAAACAAACACCCTGAGACCAAACTTCACTTTCACATAAACACCAACACACAACCTCTTCTCCGCATCTATTTTCACACAAAATAACCAAAAAAAATCAGTTCAAAGAAAACAAAACACATAAAAATCTTCAAGGGCCAGATCTGATCAATATTATTTATTTTCTGACAGAAACTCTTCTTTTTTTAATAAAAATCTAAGGTAAAAAACCAAAACAATATAAAACCCCCAGATCCGTAACATGCAAAGTCACCTTAATTTATATTTTTAAAAGTTATCCGACATAAAATTATATCACTTACTTAATTTTCACTATTAAAGTCCTTTAAAAACCATATTTTCGCAATTGTTCTTCAAACTCTTTAGATTTATAAACATACGCAATTTTTTTCAATGTCTATTTCAAACATTAAATTGTTCATAAAATTTGTTGTTTTCTGGGATAACCTATACCGATAATATATTGCAAAATAATTTTTATAATATTTCAAAAATTAAATTATTTTTAATTTTTTTAAAGGTTTCGGTATATTTTTTAAATACTGAAATACTGAATTTGTAAGTTTTAATTTAATTAAAATAACCAATATCTAAGAACCATCCAGAGACCTCCAACCCTTTCCACTAAATGAATTTAAATTTCGACTTAAAAAAAACAACACGCGTAGGAAAAAACAAAGGAAGAATCTAGATACGGTAAAAAAGTATCGACAACTTTCTGTAAAAAAAACGAATCAATTAATAAGACGGGACACACCCACATTCTATTTTCAAAGTTCACAGTTCACACTGCCCAATCACCCACTATTATTTCGAACCACCCACAACACCAGAATTAATTATTCCGGAACCACCCACCTCACCCACCATACTTTAATTTTCAAAGACCACCCACCCACCACATAACACACACTCTATCTCTCTTGAACCATCTACCAATTGCAACTCCAAATATCACAAAGACCAATACTCTGCAAATATTGTAAACGAAAGCACATACACAGAACACAACTATAATCACCAAAACCACACACTATACCATATATGTATTTCAAACACACACAGCCTCAGACACAGTTCCATTTCTCAGACCACTTCACCATCCATGAGTATCCTAACAACATCCAACCAAATCAAATTCATACAATCACAGTGATGGAAATTGAAGAAGAAAGGTTGATTCACCCAAAGATGTGCTGCTGCGAAGACGGTATGTAAATATCCACACTTTTAAATTTAAGGTTGAATAACAGTTCATACAACATATTATTATATTCTAATAACATTAAACTTTCTTTCAAATGACATGGGAGGAAACCGAGGCAGCCAGAGCAGCGAAAGTGTTATTTGTTATACATGAAGGGTGGAGAAAGAAAGCAGGTCAGAAACACCTTTTCATAATTTTTTTTATTTGTTAATAAGTATTCCACGAATAGATTCATACACGTAAATGTACTTATAAACACACAAGATAAAGGAATTGAAGCGTGATAGTCTGAAGTGAAGCCTGAGTGAAACTAATTGCCCCTGACATGCCAGCCAATCAGGGGGTGGCATATATGGTATAAATTCTGTAAAAAAATTAAGGTTTTTTCTTGCACACTGGGGATTTCTAACAGACATCTTTTGTGTTTATACTTAAAAATTAACCCCAACTCTTTATTATTTACAATTTTCCCAATCAGGATTTGCTATTTTGTTGAATTATGAAGCTTTTGAATAATTTACATGTAAAACAATTTTATTCACATTTTAAAAATAAATAAACGTACTACACAATTGCCATTGAATATTTCATTTATGAGTTAAACCCTTGAACAAAAACATTTGCATTGCGTTACATAGTCAAAAGCAGGTTCACAGTATTAGGAAATATATCAATTATATGATCTGCCAAAGTGAATATTATCTGCCTAGCCAGGCCACAAATGTTAGTATTTTTAATAAAAACCATTATAAGAGCTGCCTAAGTGAAACTAATTGCCCCTGACATGCCAGCCAATCAGGGGGGTGATATATGGTATATTATCTGATACAAAATTGAATTTTCTTGCACCATTTTGAATTCTGCCAAAAAAAAAAAATCGCATTCGAACTAAATGATTCACTTCAATTTCTCATCATTCCTTAATTACCGGCATACGAAGATTGGCATTACTGTTGGTGTGTAAGGTGGATTCCTAAATGATTTAACTTATTTTACTAAATACATTACTTAATCCATTACTTAATACATTACTTATTTTACTTAATCCATTACTTTTTAAAATAAACTATTTTATATTATTATTATTATTAGATTTATGTATCAATTTGTAGTTGTTAATTTTACTAAATTTGAACTATTTTCACTAAAAACAACTTATAACGATTTTGCTACGATTTTATACGATTCTACACAATGTTAGTACGATTTTTTTACGATTTTGTACGATTTTATGAGCATACCTGAATTTGGCTCTTTGACGTACCCTAATGCACTTGAATTAGTAAGATTAGGAATGACTACCCTTGTGAGCTGATCCTCCACCTAAAAAATAATCTTATAAGTTGGCTTTTTTTGTAGATGTAGGTAGATTTCAGAACGTGAAATCAAACAGATGTTACAGATGTTTTGTAGCACAAAACATCATGTAAGAACAAAAATGTATTAGAAAGTACAAAAAATGAGCAAGAGACACAAATACTTCCGAACCATTAA